TACTACCAGAAGCTAATGTATTTCCATCAGGAGAGAAACAGACAGAGTTGACATAATGAGTATGACCATCCAACTTATTCAATTCATGGATTTTCAAGTTCTTCCATTTACAATTGAATAATTAAGCACCATTCAAATTCAATCCACTGATTTCAACATTTTCAAACTCTGATTCACTCAAGTTGCATCTTACAAAATTACCTCCAATTAAAGAAGTATTCTTGATCCTGATATTTTCAAATGATTGGTTACGAAGAACAACCTTCATGGCCACTAATAAACTAAGTCCATTTGATCCCGATTGAATAAATTTAACATCTATGCTTGTGAGTTGTACTAAAAATTTGATGAAATCTGTGATCCCTTTGTTATCCTTTATCCTCTTGATCATATCCGCTCTTTCCTTTTCATATGTTTCTTGAGAATAGTCATCTTTATTATATTGATGATCCTAAATATTTTTCAAGACATTAGTTATTTTCTTTACTTACTTCTTGATCACCATTATATTCTCTTACTTGTAGTTTAAAGATTCATAAAACTGATTATTGTATGTCTTCGACAGGAATCCAATTATGTCTGAAACTTTCTCTTTTCTAAGTATATCAAGAATCTTCTAATAAAGAGATTCATCTATATCCTGGATGTAGGTTAACATCTCATATAAATCTTCCTTCATTTAATAAACTTCTTCTGATTCTTCTTCTTGATTGGCTTAAATTCTACAATAACAAATAAATACTTACTTAATTAATGATTGGATTTATTGGATTCCTTAGTTAGACTTCTCAATAAAAGCCTTCATATGTTGGTCCCACCAGCTCTTGGTCTTATCTAACTCCTTCATATAAGAATTCTTCGAAGCATTCCAATCTATTAAAGTTGATCCATCTACAATGTTTACTAATTTTTATATATCAGTGTAGGAGGATTCAGCTAGATTTGTATTTTCGTCGATGAGATTTAAGAATGATGAGTTTTGCTTTTCAATCCAATCGTAAACTTATTTAATTGATTGTGACAATTCTTCCCAAATTTTCTTCATCATTTATTCGGTTTGAGTGAGCAAGGCTTTAAAGGCCACTCTCTATTTAGTTAACTCTTGGTTATCATCAAGCTTGGAGTCTTTTAATTTCTTCATTGCAATGTCTTGAAATTTAGCAATCGGAATTGTTTGTTTGACATCCACTCCATGGTCATATTGGCATTCTACACAAAGTTTCCTTTAGCATTAGCACTTATGAGGAGCTATACATATCAAAGATATTGGACTTTTGATATGATAAGTGCAATTCATTATTTTTATTATTGAATTTCTATTACTCAAAGTTTAAGTTATATACTGTAAAATTGATAAAAGTATCTTGTGCATTTCTGTAAAATAGATGTTAGGACTTTTTGTAGAGTTGAAATTGATAGTAGTAGATGTTAATTATGCTATTGAGAATTCATTTCAATATTTGCATTACTTGATTTTTTAATAATATGGAATATATTTATTTATATGACTATTTTCATTTATACAAAAATTGAGTTCTTTAATTTTTCTTGTTTATCTTTAAATTTTGAGCTGAATATGTCTTTCCATTGTAATTAGATTTTTGGATTTCTAGTTGAAGTAAATGAGGT